TGAAGTAAAACAATGGAAAGTGGGGGGGGGGGGGGGGGATCTCACTATGAAATAAATGTTTTTCTCTAGTTTACGTTGGCCACAATTATTGGCACCCAATTATAGCAACGTCCTTTTCCCAAGATAACAGCTTTCTCCTATAATGCTTGAGTTTGGAGAACACCTGACAAGAGATCAGAGACTATTCATCCATACAGAATTACTCCAGATCCTTCAGATTCCCAGCTCCATGTTGGTGCCTCTTCTCTTCTCTTCTCTTCTCTTCTCTTCTCTTCTCTTCTCTTCTCAGAAGCTTCATTTTGTGCACAGTGACACATTTCTGTGTTGAATTTGGCATTATAGGATAAAACTCAGGGATAATGAAAGGTTAGAATTTTGTGAATTTTTTGAAAGAAAGATCTTAAGGATAAACAAAACAAAACAAAATTAACTTTAACAAGTATTAAATATAAAATCTAAAAATATATTTTTTTATTAAATTTATACTATTTATTCAAAATCAAACTATTAAAATCGAACTATTAAAAATCTAAATATGAATAAAACTATAATAGTATCTTAATACTAAAATAACACTGATACTTGTTTCAAATAAATATGACGTCAGGAAGATCAAACATGTGCACACAAAGAATTTGATAAGAAGATAGACAGTGAAAGCATAATATTTAAATTTCAGTAAACTCAAAATGAAGTCTTGAGAGTGATGAAGTGTTCACGAGGAGAGACGTCATAAGAATCATCTGCTGTTCATGATGTTTATTCTGGTTCAGTTGGAAGCATTTAATATGGAAATAGATCATATCTGAGCTTTCAGGTGTTTATAGTTAAAACAAACACTCGTGGTTTCTCACTTTAACACTTTCCACACCCTACAACACACAACATTCACGGGCAGCCGGGCAGATCTGTCCTCTAAATAATGCAGCAGTATAGTAGTGATGATCTTCTCTACTAACCTTGCTGCTTTGAGGTTTTGGGGTGCCAGCAGTATTCTGTGCAGTGTTTCCCATACATTGATTTATTTGTGGCGGCCCGCCACAATATCAAAACTGACCGCCACAAACTGGTTTTCCACAAGACTTTGATTTCGTTGAATAAACATGAGCTCTGCACGTTTCAAAATCAAAATGTGTTGCGGGTGTTTTTATATGAATGTATCTTTGAAGGGAACCGACTGTCTTCAGAAAAGTTTCGATGTCATTTTTATTTCTGCTGCTGGCAGAGAATGAATTTGCATTTTCAATCAGCCCGTCTGCTGTTTTCATTCAGACCAACGCGAAAACCCACTGATGTTTTTACGCAGCAAACACACAGAGCAGAGTTGTAAATGTGAACTGATATATACATATTTCCCCCAGGGGAAGTGCCGCCACACATAGAGTGTAAGTCTGTGGGAAACACTGCTGTGGTTTACCGCAGTAAAGGTGAGAGTGTCCACACCCTGCGCAGTGATCTGTGTGTTTCCTGAGGGTTTTGTGTTTGTGTTATTAGATGTGACAGCTGGATCCTCTGTTTCTGGACTGCATGAGTCTCTCTCACACACACACACACATTAACACACACATGAATGCGGCTCTTAGGACAACGAGACAAGAGTGTGATTCATTGTGAGTCACACAATCCGCTCCATTTATCATGCAGCCCTCGCAGCCGCAGTCTTTCCCACCCACACTGGACACACATCTTCATCATCATCATCAGCAGCTCAGTGTGAAATTAACATCCTCATCAGACGTGCATTGTTCACTCATGATCAAACAGGACGTGTGTCTCTGGAGGATCCGTCTGTATTTATAGAAACGTGTCTGTTTAACTGACTTTCCTTGTCATTTTACCATGTCTAACCTGATTAGTCAAGCGGGTGGTTGTGATTCAGATGGTTTAATTAAACAGAAACTCATTGGACTGGGTGAAATGGCAAAAAATAAAAATATGTTTGACCAATTCAAGACAACTATTTAAAAAATTTTTTTTTACATATAACTAGTCAACTTAAAAACTCAACTACAAAATGATTTCAGCAACTTTCTCTTTATTGTTTTTTTAAGATTTTTTTATTTCCATTTTGTTTTTAGTTATTTAACTTAAAACTTATTTTATTTCAGTTAGTTGGCAAAGCAACATTTCTAATTTAGATTTTTTTTCTTTTATATATATATATATATACATATTTATATATATATATATTAGTGGTGTCAAAATTAGCGCGTTAACGCAGGCAATTAATTTTTTCAGTTTAACGTGTTAAAAATATTTACCGCAATTAATGCAGGGGCGGGGCTAGGGTTGGCCACCCCACTCACAACTTCTGCTTCTGTCACTTTTTCTCTTGACAAGAAGTGCATATATTCAGTAGCAGAACCTATGTGAAGATTGTTTTAAGTTCACTTAAATAAGAAGTTATTTTTTAAAGTCTAATAAATGTTAAAATTGATAGCTCGGGGCTAGGGTTGGCCACCCCACTCACAACTTCTGCTTCTGTCACTTTTTCTCTTGACAAGAAGTGCATATATTCAGTAGCAGAACGACTGAGAACGGGAGACGTTTCAGACGCGCGCTCCACTTCACTTCAGCGCCAGGCGCGAGTCAAAACTGTAGCCTGTATCCTTTCATATCAAAGCGCGAAATAAACTAAGTGCATGCAAAGTCGTGGTCAGTTAAGTCATGAAGTTACCAAAAAGGCGATTAAAGCTGCCTTAAAACTGTGCATGCATGTAATATATTTTATATGAGTCACATTTAAGAACATGTCTCTGAAATGGTTTTCAAAACTGTCCAGGAGCAGACCAGCACTGTCTCACTCATCACACCCGATTTAACTCGTCAGCTCGTGTTTATTTTAGCACCTCAGTCAGTGAATACGCAGCCTGCAAAACACTAAAATAAATATCAAAGAAATAATACAGTTAAACAAGAAAGTAGCC